CACCCCTTCTGGCCGACTTGTTTTTGTGCTTGTATGAAGCAAAATTCATTAAGAACCTTCTAAAAGACAAAAAGAAAAGGCACCTTGCAAAATTCTTTAGTTTTACTTTCAGATATATTGAGGATGTCCTATCACTGAATAACCCATATTTCGGTCAGTACTAGCACCTTATATATCCCAGTGAACTTGAAATTAAGGATACTACTGATACAAGACGGACTGCTTCATACATTGATCTTTTCCTCAATATTGACACAGATAGACGAATTCACACTCAATTTCCCATTTCTCAGCAGTAACATACTCTCTGCTCCGTCGTATGGTGTTTACATATCTCGATTGCATAGTGCCTTTTCGCACTATACGGGCTTTATATACAGGAGTGTGCTCCTTACGCAGAAGTTGGTCCTGCAGAGTAATTATGAGGAGGAAAGATTAAAAATGATATTCCGTAAATTTTATGGACACAATCACGAATTGGTTGATCTAAACGATGTGTCTGTGTCTAAACTAGTAGTAAAAGAGGGGCGAAAGATACCAGAGGGACAGTCAAACTCATACGAAAATAAACTGACAACGCCATGGCTAAAAAATAAAAAGACAAACAGACAAATAAAAGTACACAAGACACAACATAGAAAACTAAAGACTAAGCAACACGAATCCCACAAAAAACTGGGAGTGATCTCAGGTGCTCCGGAAGATTAATTAGATACTGCTCCACATGTGGCACCAGGCGTGTTGCTCATGTTATTACAAAATCCGTAAATAGTCTTATTCGGTAGGTCACATTCGTGAAAAGGGAAGGGGATTGTAGTTACGACATAAGGAACATATCCGATATCATCTGTGAAACGGTTATTCCATAACGGTCAACCAACTCGTGATGGAGTACGTAAAACTTACGAAGGGATGATTTCAACTTCACCATTTGGAAATCTTGGTTTAAAACTTGTTTGTGAGCAGCAACTCTCTATCAAGAAAAGCATGATAGGAAATACAAGCCCGAGAATATCGTATCAATTGGGAGATATATACTCCTTATGCAGGCGCTGCTGGAATGTTGCTACATAGAAATGGAAAGTTAACAATTGGGAAGCTGAAATCATCTCTTTTGTTGCAAAGTTTTGTTTTCAACCGACCCTCATTGGCAATTTCTAGATGTAAGTCAAGATATGAAGCAGGTGTAACTGTATCTGTTGTATCCTTTGTCTCTAGTTCGATGGGATAGATGCGTTCAACATAGTCACCAAATTTTGAATTATGTATTGAGAGAACATCATCTATATAGCGGAAAGTAAAGTTAAAGGATGTTGCTAATTTCTTATCTTTCTTCCTAAGAAGTTCCTGTATGAAGTCGGCTTTATGATAATAAAGAAACAAGTAACTAATGACATTTTTGCCACGTCTAAGATTGTGGTTTTAAATCTATGTCGTATGTCTGCTAAGTACCGAACGTGACCTATTCCCGAATATGACTGTTATACCAAGTGTGAATTTGCATTGCTTTACGACGTGTCTCAGTAGTTATTCATCCAATATACATGTATTTATTTTTTATGTTTCTGTTATGGTTTCGGTTGGATAATGTGTTATATCTTATCGTTTGTAGTCCAAATAATTAAAAAAAATAGCCTTTCAATACCATCATTGTCGTGAAAATTGTTTGGACTGGTGTTGTGAAAATAATGGTGTGAAGTTCCAGATTACTTATAAGTTACATAGTGCGTCACTGTTTGTGATGTCCTGTTGCGTCTGTCGTTGATGGAAGATGTTCTTTGCTGTTCTGCAGTTTGCAGATTGTGTCGACTATTATATTAATATGTTGTGCATTTCTCTGTGATGAGTGTTCTTGTGTGTGTTTGTGCTGTATTTCTGTCATGTAGTATTGTCATGTTAGTGATTTTGTTAACATTGCCATAAAAGCGGGAGGTTTAGCTAGCCAGTAAACCATGTTCAACCCACCATTTTTTTCTTAAAATGTCCTGTACCAAGTCAGGAAAATGGCAGCTGTTATCAAATAGTTCGTTTCTTTGTATGTTGGCGTTTGTTATTGTTGCAGTTCAGTTTTACCCCTCATACTTAATGTGTTTCTCTCGGTTTTAGTTTGTAACCCGGATTTGTTTTCTCTCAATCGATTTATAACTTTTGAACACCAGTATGCTACTGTTGCCTTTATCCATTATTGTAAAAACGAAAGCAAACTCATATATATCAGCAAGCATAGTTAATCATATAATGACGTTGTTATCTTGTTAATCTGATAATATTAGGTATGTTATATAACTTGGTTTTACAAATTAAATTAATTTTTGGAAAGTAGATTTTCATTTAACATCATTCTCAAGTAAAATGAAATGACATTGTCACTTGGTTTCATATACCCGCTTGATTGACTACAAATATGCAATGCAGTGGTAAGTAACAAGGTTTGTAACCAAGACAATTGTGCACGAGTTAGTAGTTATCAAAAAATTGAAAACAATACGTTTAATAATTTCATGCGTCCGAAGCGCTTTTCTGGATTTACCTTCATCAGGAACGCTCAAAGCCAAATATTTGAAATCCGAGGGATGTATAAGTACCGAAACAGTTGAAGAGCTATATGACAAAAATACCTAAAACAAATAGCAAAATTCATCTAAGGTCAACTTTGCCTGAGGGAGTTGAAACCTTAGTTTCTTTATAATTTCAAAATTTGACAACGGACAATTTTAGAAAGGTTTGATATAAATCATGTCAGTACCGAAGTACTGACTACTGAGCTGATGATACCCTCGGGGACTGATAGTCCACCAGCAGAGGTATCGACCAAGTGATGTAAAAAATTGAAAACAACACGTTTACTAATTTCATGCGTCCGAAGCGCTTTTCTGGATTTACCTTCATCAGGAACGCTCAAAGCCAAACATTTGAAATCTGAGGGATGTATAAGTACCGAAACAGTTGAAGAGCTATATGACAAAAATACCTAAAACAAATAGCCAAATTCATTTAAGGTCAACTTTGCCTGAGGGAGTTGAAACCTTAGTTTCTTTATAATTTCAAAATTTAACAACGGACAATTTTAGAAAGGTTTGTTATAAATATCAAATTATTATTAAATGTTATCGACTCGAATCAAATACGTTGTGAATTTCAGGTATTTGAAGAAAAATAAATAGTTTCTATACAATTTTGATAATTAATTGTTCTTTGTGATATTGTAAATTGTATTTGTTTAGAAAATATTTAAATGAAAAAGCCGTTTAATCCATACGCATTGTGTGGAAAAGACATCATATTACACCAAATTTGTATATATGCGTTTTAGAAATGATCACTATGTTACACAAACAACGTATATGTAGGGTGAGACTGGTGAGTGATGTCTTAACTCGAACTTGACAACTACTAGACAATACAAACTACTGAACAGAGTTACATGGAATGAACATGTCTAACTTGACTGCAATCAATCTGTCTGAACAGTACTGAATTTACCGCATTGGATGAATCTTTCAATTCAGTTTGTGATCAAAATTGGTTTACTAGTAGGGGACATTTACCTAGTCACGGATTATAAGCAAGAGATTTAATTTTGTGGTAGAATTTCATTTGTTTTTCATCATTTATCCAAACATCGGTTTATTTGGCATTTTGTTGTACCTACAGAACGTTGCATCCAGTGTGTGTGTTAAATTAGACTTCATTTTGATTTTACAAAACGGAGGTCCAAATGTCCATGTTATATGTAATTGAATGGCTAATATACAATTTAAAAGAAATACATACGTTAGATAATCTATATTTTGTTGTAGGAAACAAAAGGTGACCAGAAAACAATATATTGCATTGATGTGTTTTAAATGTTCATTTAAGGAATACAAAGAAGATGTGTATTTCCTTTAAAACGGATTCACAAGGAGTATAGCATATCTTTTCGTAATACTATGTATATTCAATGGTATTAAGGATATTTTTGTGAAGTCAGGGCAGTTATTAAAATCTGCTTTTAAAATATTTACTGTTTTGTTTCCTCCTTTGACTGTTTCACATTTTGTCATGTCAGGGTCAATTAAAGTTGAACATACGATATAAGTTTTGTTCATAATTGAAGGCCGTACGGTGACCTATGGTGTTTATACATCAACGTCATTTTTCCTTTAGTGGATATTTGTTTCAGTGGCAATTATATCACCTGTTTTCTTCCTCGTTTTTATTAAATGTCTACTGTCAACTTGTTGAATATTCTCTTATATTTTGGGAGTTTGTGTATGAAAGGTGCAATGTGTATACCGGTGTAAGTAATAACAGATGCTATTATGAGATAATATGTTTGTTTCCTTCATATGAATTGCTATCAGTTACATCATTGATGAATTCAATTCGTTGTGATTACCATGAAAATCCACTAAAAAAACTAATGTCTGCTTTATAGCTAGCTCAAAAATGTCATGTTTTATTTGTTTTTGGGGTGGGATGTTCGCTGCTCTGACCGTTTCGTGCTATATACAGTTCTAAAATCTTTTCATACAGTTTTCTTTTCGTAAATTTGCAAAAAGGACGTTCATAGAGATTTTCCACAAGTTTGAGTACACCTTCTACATGTTCTAACCAGTTGTATTTTGTAAATAAAATGAAGATAAGATTATGATTGTTTCATATTTATTTGTAAAAGGTAATAATTATAGTTTAAATTAAACATTCGTCTTACAAGTGAGAGGTTAAGCTATCTATGAAAGCAGGTTTAATGCGTCATTCAAGTGAGAGGTTTCGACAGATATGAAACCAAATTTAATCCTTAATTTTCTACATCAATTCTGTTTTTAATTTTCCTCGGAGTTTGATATTTTAGTTATTTTACTTTTCCTAAGTATGATTTGAACTTGCTATAACATTTCAATAAAATAAAACTTATTTATTTTAAACTAACGCAATCAGATCTGAAATTTTTCTTTTCGATATAACACAGAATCCGTGAGAGACGCACTGACAAACACATTTTCAAATACATATAATAAAAAAAAAAGTTGCGAAAAGACAAAAGTACTGAATCTATGAAGAAGCACTCATATTTTCCAAATCAATAGCATCTAAAGACTCTGTACCAGCAGATATAATATATGTACCCCAACCATCCTATCCTTCTGTAACATCGACCAAGGTAGTAATAATAACAACATGACCTTTTTTGGATGCCGTGTTCTGCAAGTAAAAAGTGAAATGGCTAAAATAGAAACTGAATTAGGTAGTCAATTCGAAGTACCAAAGTCAGTCATAACGCACGGAGAAAACATTTTTTACTGTAGAATAACCCGGAATAAACAAGGTTCGAATGAAATTAAGAAAAATAAAGTGAGGGCCAACTTTGTATGAATTATGGAATATGATTGGTTTACTAGAAGGGGGCATTCACCTTGTCACGGGTATCAGCAGCCCAGTAGTCATCACTTCTGTGTTGACATGAATTATCATTGATATGGTCATAATCATAAATTAACTGCTAACAAAACTTTACATTTTGAAATACTAAGGCTTTTCTACCTCAGGAATAGATTACCTTTAGCTGTATTTTGGCAAAACTTTTAGGAATTTTTGGTCCTCAGTGCTCTTCAGCTTCGTTTTTTGATTAGCCTTTTTTAACTTTTTTTTATTCGAGCGTCACTGATTAGTCTTTTGTAGGCGAAACGTACGTCAGGCGCAAATACACATTTTCAATCCCGGTATCTATGATGAGTTTATTTGCAAAGTTTCAGATGGTTGGTCCCAATAAATGTCACATTAACCTTAATTACATCTGTTTGGCTTGCTCACTCAATTTTATCAATATAACCGAACTATGAGCAACCGTTTCACAAGTGGAAGTTAGCTAGCTTTAAAAACAGGTTAACCTATGAAAATTTGTGCCTGATATTTTTTTTTTTTTTTTTTTTTTTTTTTTTTATTTTTTTTTTTGTGGTTTTGCGGGACTGCTAGATTCATTATTAGTTTGTTGTTTGCAACACGTTTGTTGCAAATATTTTGAATACATTTAAGCGGAGCATCCAAGAACTTCATTTCTTTGGAAACTCTAAAGTGGTCGATTGAATTGAAACAAGAAAAGCATACGTGTGTTACAATGAACAGCCTTAACATAAGCAATATCCAAATCTCCACATTCTTCTTTGATTTCTGTTTTGGTGTCATTTGGGATGCTTTCGTTATCTTCAAAAGCTTCATAGCATGTTTTGGAATCTGGAGTATCCTGTAAAGATAATGAACGAGTTAAATAATATATATTTAGTATTATCTCGCATCATATGAAATTGGCATTTCAATTTTCATTTCATTTAACTAAAATAATTTTGAGTTTAGAGAGTCTTTAAATATGCATATTTATATTTGCATAAGAATGTATGTTCTCCATTCATAGTCGATGTTAATTGTTCAAGATATGGGTGCCAAAAACATGAAAAAGCGAGGTATTTTTACAAACTCTGAAAAGTGACATCTTAAAAATCTTGTCTCCTTTATCATTTATTGAAGCAATACTAAAATAACTTACATTTTTAACCTTTAAAAAAAAGTAAAATCACAAAAATACTGAAATCCAAGTAATATTCAAAACGTAGAGTCCCTAATCAAAATACTTTAGAATGTCCTTGAATAATCACAATGTATACATACATTGAATAATCACAATGTATACTTTGATCTATAATGGTTTATTTCTATAAATTTTGACTTGGATGGAGAGTTGTCTAATTGGCACTCGTATCACATCTTCTTATATCTATAAAATAGTTACTTTAATACAATTTGACAAGCCTTTTTCAAATGATTGTTATAGTTTTTCTCAAGTTGTGCTGTTTCGCCTTTTTCCAAGGTTTGTAGAGGGCTAGTCGCTTCCTATCATGTTTTACCCCTCCATATTCTATAAATGCACTCCGTAGACCAGAAGCAGTACATCAGTGGTTATCAAAGGTTGATGTCTTTTCTATTTCTTTTTTCATTTGCATTCATACAACTTCTCCTTATATTATTTTATTATGTTCATTTTGAATTAACAGTCGTTTAAAAAGTTCCCTTATCAAAGCATGAAAATCTTTTTTATCACAAATTTAAACTAATATGCAAGAATTTAACCTTTCGTACTTTTCTGCTTCAAATATTTGTTTGTGAGTTTAAGGTATCATACAGTTACATTGAGTTGCCAAGTACTCAAAGACATAATGAATATGCTTATTAAATTTCGATGTATTAACAAACTTTAAAATCAATTTAAAAAAAGAATATGTATAATTGATTTTTAATTTTTGGTGTTTTAATGCAACTTTTAAGCACCGCTTTTGGGCTATTTCGTGGCAGTCAGTTTTTTATTGGTGGAGGAAGCCGGAGTGCCCGGTGAAAACCACAGACCTTCGATAGGAAAACTGACAATCCTACTCAATTAAGATTGACCCGCACGAGCGGGGTTCGAACTCACAACCTCAGTGTTGACTGGCTAGTAATTACAGTAGTAACTACTTAGACCACTCGGCCACCGAGACCCCTAAAAAAATATGTATAAAGAATACATTTAAATTTGCATATATATGGGTGAGCACCGCTGTATACTTAATTCAACCGTTACTGTTTAAATATAACCCACTATGGGTAGTCTTTAAAGATCGCGGTTTACCGTCAAATGTAAAAATGATTTTCGCAAAATCTTTAACTTGGGCAGTTTCATATGTGAAGCTATACGTTATTTATTTATAAATGTCAAGCTGTCAAAGGAACAAAACACATTCCTATTGATAATTAATCGAGATGTGTGCATGTGTTTCAGTCTATAAAAATGAACCATGGTATTAAAGAAGCTCAAATATTGATATTTGCATAGCATAACGTAAATACAAATTAAATGCATGTAGATATTTTACTTACAGTTTGTTTTACAAAAAGATTTTTAAAAAGTTTTTTATGTTTTGTGTTAGCGGAAAAAATAACTGAAAATGTAATTTTTAACATTTGTTAGACCGACTTATATACCTATATGGAGTTTTTTTTTTCTTTCAGCATAACATAATTCTCTATTTTAGGTCTTTTTTTTTCGCTGTTTAAAATGCAAACTATAATATACTTTAACATGTAATTCGGTTTATAGTTATTGTGTGTTGTAGTTTATTGTGGTTTATTGTTTTATTTTCTGCGTTTGTTAGATTAAAGGCAGAAACAATCCTTTATTTTTTCTGAGTTTATTTGACTGAAATAACAAAAATTGTCGTTGACGCACATTCTAACTTTCGAATTAAATAATGTGATGTTTTCATTACATTTTTGCTACAATAAAGGGACATTATGCGAGATGAATTGAATAATGCAAAGTTTTCATAGCACTTTAAAAAAAACAGATTTAACACATTCGGCTGAAGGATTTTTAAAATCTTATTTATTCACGTTTAGTGGAAACCATAATTTAAAATTTCATCTTCTTCTTCATCTTCCAGTTAAGAAGCTGCAATCAACTGTCTGATTATTCTGTCGCTGTGTTACATGTACATGTATCTCAATTTTGTAATCTTTTCGAGCCCGTTCTTAACTTGTTATTTCTATATTATCTATCTATAATACATTTTATTCCATCAAATGAATAAATGACAAAATAATCTTATATTCTGTAGAAATGCAACCACATACTAAAAAAAAATGGATTTGTGCGGGTATAAGATTTAATTATGATTCTCGGTTTAATCACATGTATTGTCAAACAAAAAGAGGAAAACAATTATTTGCATAAGTTCGTTCGAAAATTGTTGAAAAATAATCTGCTTTCCGCTATAAAAAGTTTAAAAAATAATAATAAGACCATACCCCTTTCATAAATTAAGTTATACGATAAATTACTAACAAAGTGACTTGTATTTTGCATACACCGTAAAAATAAATTTGTGTGTTGCTTCATGCAGTTACAATAATATTTTTATTGTAACTGGATAATGATTTCTTAAGTGTATATCCAGATTATAATTAGCGATTTGTATTTCACATTTAATGCATAAATGAGTCGTAGAGCGTATTAAAACCTGAACTAATTATATTTAGACAATACTGGGACATTTTTATGAATACGTAAAGTCTGAGGCGTATTCCAGGTTTTTAAATGCTCATTAAACATTACCAAGTATTGTCTGACCAATTTAGGACATATTCACGCTCTCGAGTGACATAATAAAATTATAAACGCTTTTCTGGCGCAAATACAAAATTTCCATCATGGTATCTATGATGAGTTTATTTAGCCTCTCATTGTCATAATCAAATTTTGATATTACCTTACTTTAAATGTTAACATGGTTAGTGAAAGTGATGTGTTTTAATGGTCGTTTCGTTTCAATCAATGGAATGAAAGAGCAAAGAGATTGTGAAAACGAAAAAGGATATTTTTTTTCAAAAATGGAGATGTCTTCTTTTTCAGGTACAATTTAATCTTATACATATCGAAAATTCCTTTGTTTTAAAAAGCACACCATGTTATATAAATCATCTTTTCTAGAATTGTACAATTTTTTAATTATGAAAAAACTGCATAAATGAATTTTAATTTACAATCGTTTCCTCATCAGATGCTTGTTTTCCTTTTTAATGTTTTTTTTGGGGGTTTTTTTTCTATTATTATTACTATCATTACTGATGAATTATTGGGTTTTTTCTCAAAAACTTTTTTTTTTTATCAACAGTCATTGATTCTAAAATCATTTATTTTAAGGTCTCGTCTAAAATTAGATTCAATATTACATGTGTTTTACCGACACCTTTGCCTCCTTTTCAATTTTCTTTTTTTTTCTTTTTTTTTTATTCGGAAGGGTCTATCTATGTACCATTAAATATCATCTACAATGTTAAAATCGCAACTAAAAATGCTTTTATAGCTTTATAGTTCTATTCTCCTGATTTCATTTGTAATAGCCAGACAAACAACTGTACTCATTATTTTGTTTGGCTCTTTCCTTTTGAAATTGCATTGAGGGATTGTACACATTGAGCAGTTTTAAAGAGTTCACTTTCATAATTAATCTACAATGAAAAGTCATTTATGTATAGCATTTTAAAGTGCATTTTAAGCCATGTTCTATGAAAAATAGAAGGAAAAATGCTGATTTTCCATTGGACGAGAATGGGTGCATATGTTCTAATCTAAAAAAGAATATCTCACTTTATAGTGCTCAGTTTCTTTTCCATTCAAAACGTATGTTGACATTCACTTACATTTACCTCATAAAACTGAACATTGCAGGTTCTGTTATACTTGATGATTGAATACTCCTAAAGCAAAGAAAAATGAATAAGAATGCTTGATATAAGTGACCCTTTTTAACATTATTTTAAAAGATACAAATGAAAAAAGATTATTAGCCATGTCGTCCAACAGACTTAGTTTTGTTGACAAATAAACAAAAATTGTACGTATATGTAACTATACTGTTCACATATGTTAATTGATAAAATTGAAATGACGACTGAATATTGAGGATATAATCATTTGCATGTGTATCCTTCGTTTTAATATTACATTATTAGTACATGATGGTTGAATAGTAATTAACTATTAATCATTTTGATACATTAAGGTTTAGGTATGATAAGAGCTATCATTTGCCAATCAGTGGCAAAAGCTATCTCATAAAGTATGTAAGATATCAGATATCTTATAAAAACTGGATTATTCAAGATATTTTATATATTATATGAAATATCTTGAAGTTAGAATAAATAGTAAAACGGCTTGTCATAATTTATGAATTTAATGCGTTCTAAGTTGTGTCATAAATGTACAGTGCTTAACAACATCAAGAATTTTTTTTTTAAATAACTATAAATCACTAAATGAGTCTTAATAGTCAACTTACTGTGTCTTTACTGTTAATTTCGTCTGCCAGTATAACACCATCTTTCTGGATTATTGCAATATCTGTGTTCCCAATTTGAACATCAATGACGTCATATTCCTCACCTTTATTATCTTTCAACACGTTTTCTGATACCTTCAAAATTACATCTTAATAAGTTGCTGTTCATTTTTTTCAGAGTGTTCAAACGTAAAAATGTATGTGCAAATAAAATAAAATAAATAAGTTTTTGACATGCATGGCTTATCACATTCTGCATCTATATGATGACAGTTTATGTTCTAGAATTTGATGAATAAAGGCAACAGTAGTATACCAGATCAAAGGCAAATTTTGCAAAATAACGAAAAATGTGTTTATTTCCAAATCAAAGATCCCAGAGTGAATCAATGTTGACTCCACAAAATGCCAGCCTTAATGACCTGACAACAGTATCGTTACTGAATCTAGCCTTTTCATCTAAATTTGGGTTTTTAATGTAAAATTAGAATAACAGGTAAAAAAGCTTTTGTGAGACCTCGAAATTGAAAGTATTATCCTTTTTCTTTTATTTAACTATTGTTAATCAATAAAAAATCACAAAAACAATAATTGTGCATTGGTACTAGCTGTTATCAAAGGGAGACAATTCAATCTCAATCTCAATGTGTTTTAATCACAGGAGAGATAAATCTTGTTACATGAGGAGTTATCTCATCAACTATAGTCTATTTTTTAAAACATCTTCTAGGTATTTAGTTTGCTTACCCATGTTTTTGTAATAAGTTCCTCACTTTGAAACCGCAAAGTAAACTTTAATAAAAACCCTTAATATTTATTTGCTATGTAATCTTTGTGGATTTAAAAAAAAAAGATTCATTATAGGGTAATAAGGGTGCCATCAAATAAATAGGCAAGGATGACAATTTAAGACATTGAAACATTCAAATTCAATTGAGTTTATGAAAGACTGATTCTTTTTCAATTTATTCTATAGAAAATTTTAAAAGTGACTAAATTTATGTTTGCATATAGGAAACAAATCAGGTAGTATAATATATTTTGTGGCCAAATGATGGGTTGTTAATGGGAGCGAGTCATTGTAAAACTGATAAGGGGGTGGACAGAATTATGGGAACTATGGAATGAGAGGGCTGAAAATGGGAATTGGATAAATGAAAGCTGGAGTCAGGGTGGTGTTAACCGTGAGGAAAGGGTTGCTAAAACTGGGATAATTCATGTTGACGAAAAAATAGGAGTGCAGAGGAACAGAATACGGAGTGAAGTAGGAGTTTGGGGAGGGAACTGGGAATCAATGTTCCCTGTCACCCCTTACTAATAGCCAAAAAAGAAAAGGGGTTGGGGTCATGTATGTATATGGAGCAATTCTGCAGGGGATGCGAACCACAGCTTGTTCTAGTTTGTGAACTGATAAATAAGATGCTTAATGTAATAGCGCTATTTAAATAAAAATTAAAATTAAAAAAAACTTACAAAAAAACAATGAAAACATTATATAATTTATTAAGTACAATTTGTATCATGTAGACCAAAAATAATGGAGCATTGAATGACTGCAATAATTATCGTTTTAAGAACGCATAAGGCAGATGCACTAATCTCATAGGGAGATTTTGGAAGAGCACAGCTTCCCATGGTTGGACTGAACGTTAGTCCACAGACAATTCATCGATGATGATGGAAGTTTACAACCACCTTGACTGGCTATAAAGCCTTCGCCTAGTCAGCCCTGCATAGGGCCTTTTAATGTTTTTAAAGAATTTAATTCCATATTATAATTCCAAACAATTTATATAAAATGATTAAGTCTTTCAACGAAGGTTATAAATGATTAGCAAGGATGCAAATACTAAACTTTAGAACGTAAATAAATATCTTTAACAAATGAATTCAAAATAGCAATATCTATTCAATTTAACAAATATGTACTGAATAAGTGTCATGTAAATCTTTAAATATAGAAACACGCAATTTCTATTTTTTAAACAAGGGAAACAACAATTACATGATAATCCTATCTGCCACATGTATTTAGAAACAATTTGTTTTTATAAACAATTACTAATTAGAAAAAAAACACACAAACTGAAGATAACATGTGTTTTAGTTGCAACAATTTTATTGTTAATAAACAACTGCCAACCTGACAAGAAACAAACACTGGTTTGGAACAAACTATACACTACGAACGACAACTCGACCTAGTGTGTTACTCTTATTTGTTGATAATATAGATAACAAATTATTTTTAAAAAGCGGTAATATGTAGCAATTTATAAAAATCAGAATACCGTAGTAAAAATTATCAGGAAATTGATCTGCTTTGCTGCCCGGAGATGCAGATACTTGAACTTGTACAAAATCATGTTTTCAGGGGAAGTGATGAATTGTCCTTGCCAAAATAACAATTAATTCAGGTATCTAACATTGCTAACATATATTGATACCACGATAATACATTGGTAATACTGTCTTGTTAAATATACCTTATTGTCAAAGAATGCAGCAATAGTGTCGTCATCGACGGGCAAAGAAAAAACCGTGATGATCATGCATGCAATTCCGGAAATTGACCGTCTCCGAAAATATTAAATTCTAAAATTAAGTTATCGTCCTTTTCGCGCCAGACGACTATTGAAAAGGCTACTGAATCGCTCTGAATACGTCAGTTTAAAGGTTTGGTTAACTTTTGAGGTGAATGACGACATTTTGTGCTTTGTATAGAATATTACCATAAACGTTTGTTTATGTTATTCTAGTACTTTTTAATTACATATAACTACAATATAAAAAAAAATCACTACCTTGGATGTTTCAAACATACTGGCACTCAACACAAAGTACGATAAAACTATCCATCCATACATGTTTCCACTACAAAAGACATTTGATAATAATATAATAAAACCTGTTATGATTATCAATATTTTCAAAATGTAATTCACTTGCAGAATGACACAATAGCTAAAAAATTTACTTTTGCTTGTTATGTATGATCATTGCGACTTTTGAACTATCTATATTCCTGACCCTTATTGTGATGTACTTAACATATTTTGATCCGATCTAAGAATGCACATATTGAATTTAGTTTAAGTCACTATAACCTTCTGTATATGCAATTTACAAATAATTTGTTGTACTTGAATGTAGGATTGATTACTCTCAACTAAATAATGTATCTGTTGATGTGTAGAAAAATATATCATCGAGTTAAAAACAAACTGTTAATGAATAAATATACTTAAAACTGTTACAAAAAAAGTAAAAAAATACCAACTTACAATCTTGAATTTACAGTTGTTCTTATTTATGGTTTAAATGACCTGTAAATGTGAGAAACTATGTTAAAGATGAAACGGACGCTAAAATAAATGGTAAAAAACTTTTAGATAAAAGATTTGATAAACATTATTCAGTTTACAATAGGATACTTTTAGTTTCATTGTATAACTTACTTTACACCAATTCCAAAAAATATGTCATTCGCAGATACGTTTGATAAAATAAGAGAGATAATTTGCTGATTCCAGTTTATAGAATGTCACTTCATGTGACAAAAAACATTGTTCTTTTATTGTGAAAAATACTTGATTTTGAACCGATACAATTTTGTTTAACCCTTTTTCAGGGTCACTTGCCTTACATGTATCCAAATTCAAACGACACCTAGACTTTATCATGTTACCTTATACGATTAATGAAGTTATGACATATTAATCAATAATTCAAACATTTGAAGATGCAATTACTCTTTAACAAAAGTAATCGAACTATTTTAAAATCAAATGTTTAAATTTGTTGTTTAAAAGACCTCAACATTATGCGCCAATTTTAAGTCTTAATTGTTCCGTGTTAGAGTGGTAGTGGTAATAAGATCAAAGATGTAGAAACTCAAATTTCAGGCTAAAATGTATAAGCCATTAATATAAAGGTAATGTTTCTGTTATTGAGTTTAGGGGCATCCGATACAGTTTCAAGGCCGTTAACATTTGGCGCGACGTTGAGAGTTTGAATTCCCGCACAACCTCACTTTTTGCCGGACGTTATGCATTTAATTTTCCGTAATAAGAACAATATTTTGTACAATCGATGCTCCAATTTATGTTTCTTACACATGTTAACTTAAACTCCCTTAAGATTAGTGCATTTGATTCTAACAGGATAAAAGTCTAATAAAATCATAAGAAATTAAACACATATTACTGTTTCTGATGTTCCTCATTTTGAGGATTCTGTGAGATCTTCAACAAAATATCGAATTGTGAGCAATTTCAAGACGACTGACCCTTTTGGTGTTTCTAATATAATGCATGTTAATTATTATTTTTTATTATCATTCATCATCAATGATCGAATGTTGATTTGGATCCGATTTTCTGACATTTTATTACAGCACAGAAAGGCAAAGTCAATATCAATTTGTGTTAGTAATTTTAAAAAATTAATTTCCTAACGGAACATTTTATTCCATTTATTTATGTAAAATAAATAATGGTATGTCGCCAATATTAACGATTATACAACTTTTAATAAAAGAACAAAATTTACTTTAGAGGAATAAAAAGGATCAAAACCAACACCAAAGTTATGATGGATGTTAAGGTAACATGTCCTGTCTTCCAGATATTATTCGATCGGTTTTGCCAAATAAAAAAAAATTAAAAAATTAAAAATTATTGTAAAGTTTCTCTGTCAGGTAAAAGCCTCCTTTAACAAATTGAGGATTCTGCTATATAAGTTTTTTTTCTGACAAGTTCGTTTTGCAAGAAAACACCTCATATAAGTAACCTTATGCTGTGATCCAATGGAAATAAGTATATATCAGTGAACTTTAAAAACTGGTTAAAACAGTAGGAGCGTCGAAGATTTTTTGAACTGTAATCATTTGACCCGGATTTTATGAATAAATGTGAAATTCTTGAGAGATTAGAATGTGAATAAAGAATTTTAAGGGGTATGTTCATGAAACAACCGCCCTCCAACCAAAAAAAAAACCAAAACATCTAGAGTTCAACATATGGTCTAAAACAATACACGAGTAAGGTACCCGATGTTAAGTTCTAAATTGACGCGTGAGTCTTTAAATTTAGCCGTAAAAAATATAAACAGTCCGCAATAACTATGCTTGAGATGTTTCCCACTTGGATCACAAACGGAGAGAGGTATTTATGATACACATGATTTTATTTCCGAAAATAATATTACCAATGTATAAGTAACTCTTTATAAGCAATATTTATACATCTGAACAGTGTCTCCGATAACTTGCAGTGGCGGGGGACATCCAAATTGTCTGACAGCGACGTCGTGCATTTTCGCGCTAACGTTCAGCTTATCAAAAGGGGACGCAATCTTTAGGATAAATCGCGATTTATCTTCGAATCCAAAACGGTGACATCTATTTTTGTATTTGCTCTTGAGTAAGCATCACAAACAGCAGTTTATGTAGAAAAATTACAATAAAAGAACCCCTCGATTTACACATTTTAAGGTAAAAAAAATATCCTACTTTGAGCATCTTATCCGTAATTATTAGCATAGCTTGAAAAGGTTAACTAGTCATTCTTGAAAGCATTTATTTTTCACTAATTTTCACTAATCACAGCATCAAATTAAAACCAATCTTATCAATTTATGACGAAGAATATCTACTCAAAAATTTTTATAACTTTGCTACACTTTACAAAAGTGCAAAATACCCCAATTTTCAGCCTCAATTTTCTGAAAAACAAGCACGGTGACATATGTTTTACTTGGTCATTTCTTTTATAACTCGCCCAGACCTACAACATATTTCAAAGTTATAAAAATGACATTATAACATGAAACTGTATCGAATGCCCTTAAGTTTATTTTTTAGAGTAAAATTAAGATTTTCTACATTAACAAAGCAATATTTAAGGACATGGTAAATTAATACAAATCTTTCATTTGATTTAAAGTTTCAAAAAAAAGAGTGTGTCTTTTTTTTTTTTTTTTTGATAATTTTACTAAAAAACTAAACTGATCATTTTTTGATTCTATAAGGCTGAATACTCATGCGCTACCTGAACTAGTCGTACGTGTGCAAAGCCATAAAAAGTACCTACTTTTTATTGAAACCTGCTTACAAATATGGCGAGAACCTGTCCGTTGTTAGATTATTCTGCTGCATTTATTCTTAAGCTGTATGCCATTTACAACAAAAAATGTTGTATAACACATAATCTACCAAGCACTACCTCACTAAAATGCTGACTAATGATTGACTTTCAAATAAATTAAGCATGAAGTATACATTTGAATAACTTATCGATCTAAAACATCGCTGAAACAAGAAACTGTTTATTAATAATCTATTTAATATTAATTTAACATACCTTTTCTTGCCTTTGCTGGATGTCTGAAGATTATATCTACAGTTTAATATAGTCATCTTCATATGTTCCTTGTTGTAGTACCAGCCAATCAGAACTTTCTGACTTTCATACTTTGAAGATATGTCGCAAAAAAGTTTTGTTCCTGATTCAATACTTAGGAGAGAACTTAATACATGTCATATTTTTCTTTACTACAAAAATCATGAAATGGGAAAAAAAATGAAAAATGGTTTAGGTAAATAACCAGTTTAAACGTAAACTCATTAATATGCAGTATTTCGCAATAAAATTAAAATTACTCCTTCTTCTTCATATTGAGACTAATGCTTGACAACTGACAGTGTAAATATATCACAGGCTATGACGTTAACGCCTCTCGTCTCTAAAGGTATCTATAAATCAAATGAATTTCTAATATAACGCTTCATTTAAAAGAAAAACTGTGTTTGAAAATAGATTTGTACCTTCTCTCAAACAGTGGGTCTTTTGTTTTAGAATGAACATGTTTATCAATTTGTGTACCGATACTTTAATTATAAAGCAATGTATTTTTATCCTATTTCTAACCTATTATTCATTTGTTTATGTCATGACGAGAAGATATCGCAAACCTAAACTGGCCTTTTCATCTATGTACATTTTTATTTTTGGCTGTTCTTGTAACCAAATGATTGATTGATTGATTGATTACAAAATAACTATGGGTTGAGCAATTTTATCCCGAGGGATAGCGAAAGTTAAACTACGACTATAAATGTCTAATTAATGGTTGAATGATAACAATTTTAACATGCCGTTCTTCAAACGCTTTGAGTACACACCCGTGGTAAAATATGAATATATTGTTTGGGCTGTTCCAATCGTACTCCCGCGTCATATGTTTTTTTATGAATGAGCTACCCGACGTCATAGAACGATGACGTAAGAATATAAGCATTTTACGGGAAAATACACGCTTGTGAAACCGAAAATCATCACAACAAGGAAACGTAAACAAACGATGCAAAAATGTGTTATATAAGCCATTTTTGTATACATATAAGACATATAAGTACAATGATCATTTAGATTCATCCAAACCTATCTAAATATGTTATTGTAAATAGTTTAAGCATGTCATTTATTCAGTTTGCTCCGGTCTTTTACGTCAATTTAATAGTGCGTTTATTTATGGGAACGGCAAATAATGCCTTCATCTAGAGCGCTTCGATCCAAAACAATTGTCCTATTAGAATCGAAATAATTCATGGGGGCTTGAATATATCGTGATTTTACCACGGGTTGTCCCTTTATGCCGATATTTTACCCCTGGCTATCGCTCAGGGTAAAATATTTGTCATAAAGGGGCAACCCGTGGTAAAATCACGATATATTCAAGCCCCCACGAATTATTTCTTAAATATACGGCTGCCATGAGTTATTTTGATTATAATACGACAAAAAAAGTTATTACGTCAACAGAACGCACAATACTGTTTTGCTTCCGTTTTACCCAAACGTAAAATATCAAAAATATTATCTTATTCATTAAAAACTTTAAAAAAAAAGTCACACAATTTTTTACCAACAAATCTTCTTTTTATCCAATTTTATTACATTCTGAGGCGTACAAGAAGCCTGAAAACGGCAGGTGTTTACATTATACACCGAAAGCATACATATAAGCATGCCGGTAATTCAGTTGTCATTTCGGGGCCTTTTATAGCTGACTATGCGGTATTGGTTTTACTCATTGTTGAATACCGTACAGTGTCCATTAGTTGTTAATTGTTATATCATTTGGTCTCTGGTGGGGAGTTGTCTCAATCGCAATTCTACCCCATCTTCTTCATTTTATATATGATGTTACCTTGTTTAGTTGTCAAAGACGATACTATCATTTCGCGGAATTTTCGTTTCATAGAAATTTTACACCGAAATAATAGCTGAAATTGCCTGATTTTTTTATTTACATGTATATTGGAATAGAGATAATAGTTTTGTATTTGAAGCTTGGCCTACCTACAACGTGAGTTTTTACTGTCACAAATTGAGTTTACCTGGTAGTATAAATAAAGTAGGCGTAACTCAAAAAAGCTAATGTGTGAATTATCGTGTTTGCGATATATAGGTCGTCATATGAGAGTTGGTGTTTAATGCCAATTGTAGCACTATTGAGATATTAAATAGTGGTCAGTTTTCATAGGTTGAGGAAGCCTGAATGCAAGGAGAGAAGCACCGACCTACGACAGGAAGACTAACAATCCTATTTAATATCTTTTGGAGTAGAATACACATAGCACGTGCGACATTCGAACTCACAACCCAAGTGTGGACAGGCTATTGATACAGTAGTTCAACTACTTAGACCATTCGGCCACTGAGGTCCATCTTGCAACAGAAATTTGACAACTTGGTAACTAAAAGGCTGTTGTTTGTTGAATTAGATTGAGAACATACAAATAATAGAGCTTATATGTGAATTCGATAATTGTCCATATATCTTTATTCATTTATTCATTATTTAGTAAGTGTAAAACAAAACTCCAATTCTATTACCGCAAACCAAATTTGTAAAGGTTTTGGTGTTTCTACACCAAATATATTTTTATGACGGATCGAATCGAGAAGGAATATGAAACCTTCAAATTGAAAAAAAGTGAGGTTGACTTGGCCATGGAATGATATATACTCCGTATGCAGACGCTGCTGGAATGTTGCTACATAAATATTGAAAGTTCACCATTGGGAAGCTGAAATCATCGCTTTTGCCGTTTTTTTTTTTTTTCTTTTTGTTTTTTTTTTCAAACGACCTTCATTGTCAATTACTATATGTTAGTCAAGATATGATGCAGACTTTACTGTATCTGTTGTATTCTTTATCTCAAGTTCGATGGGATAGTTGCGTTCAACAAAGTCACCAAATTTTGAATTATTTAGTGAGAGAATATCCTCTACATAGCGGAAAGTAAAGATAAAAGTAAAATCACAAAAATACTAAACTCCGAGGAAAATTCAAAAACGGAGAGTCCACATTTATGGCAAAATCAAAAGCTCAAACACATCAAACAAATGGAAAACTGTCATATTCCTGACTTGGTACAGAGAGTTTCTCATGTAGAAAATAGTGGATTAAACCTGGTTATAAAGCTAGCTAAACATCTCACTTGTATGACAGCCGCACAAAATTCCATTACATTGACAACGATGTGTGAATAAAGGATACTGTTAATTTTTTTTCCTCTCTTCTTAAAAAGTTCCTGCATGAAGTCAGCCTCATATGAATTAAGGAACAAGTCTGCAAAAAGCGGAGCACAGTTGGTTCCCATGGGAGTATCGATTATGTGTTGAAATCACGTCCTCAAAAAGTAACAAATTTGTTGTCAATCAAGAAATCTTGATAATGTCAATTTCAGAGATTATTTTTTTTTCTTTTTAATCAGATTGATTTGTTTACAAAGTACGATTTATCGCTCCCTAAGGCAAGATACTTGTATCTACGCTAACTATTATTTCTAATGAAACAAAACAAGACCAACTCTTTCAATTTGTCTTTTAGTTTGAAATAGGGAATACTTGTGTAAAGTGTAAAAAAGTCAAACGTTTTCACACTTTTGCAAGATTAAAGAGTTTTAGATTGAAAAAAAGTAAAATCACAGAAATACTGAATTCCGAAGAAAATTCAAAAAGGAAAGTCCCTAATCAAATGGCAAAATGAAAAGCTCAAACACATCAAACGAATGGATAACAACTGTCATTTTCCTGACTTGGTACAGGCATTTTCTTATGTAGAAAATGGTGGATTGAACCTGGTTTTATAGCTAGCTACCTCTCACTTATATGACAGTCGCATCAAATTCCATTATATTGACACAGTGCGTGAACAAAACAAACAGACACAATAGGTAAAAATGTCAAAAATAGGGATACAGCAGAATGTGCTCTAAAAGATCTTTGGTATTTTTTTAGTACCCACATCTGATTCACGCCAAGTCTCACAATAGCTTTGAAGCCCCGCTTTCATTGATGAAAAAATGATGTTAATAATTTAGAACGAGGTTTCGTAGAGCACTTGGAAGACCCAGCAATATATATATTGTAAGGACACTTGTTTAGTTTAGGTATCCAATACAGTGACGAAAGATCCAGTTCTTCATCTTTCATTTTGTCTTTGGTTGAAATTCCAAAGAAAACTAGAACAGATCTATGTTTATCCAGAATTCCCTCCTTTGTAAGTGCAGTGGGGCATACTAGTAAGTTGAGTTTGCAACAGAATTGTCAATATCCAATCCATTTATCAAGCAGTTAATGTAATGTGCTGTACACACAAAATCGATGTTGTTTGGGGCTTTATCTACAGGGACAACAACATATTTGTCATGGAGGAAGCACAGGTGTTTTGCAACATTAGGGTCTTTAAAGTTTGATGTAGCATGGGAATTTATAGACCCATTCAGTTTTTAAGACTGATGTGTATCAACACCCTTGCAGCCTTAATTGATCAATTCGGAAAGAGTATCTACGTTTTCTTTCTCACGTTTAATCCATAGCCTGGCATAGATCTCGACTGAATCCATCAGTATTTTGAAGTTGTGTTTCCAATTGATGGATTAAGGCTCACGATATTTCGGGCCTATGGATAACACATTTCGCAGAGAAATGTTATTGACAATGTTTAGGTCACCGGTAATAACGTGATCAGCGGATTATATATGAATGGGGAACTAGCACAGGTGCAATCAGGAGGTTTAGACTTGAAGTCGTCAATATTGAGATCCAGCAACACATGTTTGTAATTGAAAATGTTAGTTGCAATTGGTTTGGAATAGGTATAAGAAATGATAGGTATAGACAGATCTTTAGATAAAGGGAGCTATTTTCAAGTGAACTGATTTATGATGAAGAATATTGCCCAAGTTGATGACATCGAGACCTTTGTTGGCAAAGGAAAGTTTTAGAAAGGATCCCTTCTCCTTTTCATCTTTTCAAATGCGAACTTGTTTGAAAAGTCTGTGACTTGCAATATCCGAGATGAGAGTTGTGAGTTTGTATTTGATTGAATTGGAGTTTGTAACAGTGGTTTCCAAACATAAATTGCACACAGAATGAAGTTTTGAAAGGAGTAATGAATAAAGCTTCGTGCAAATGTGATGATATCCTCACGGCTTTTGTATAAATGGCAGCAGGTCATTAA